ATGAACCCTTACACTGAAGTAGTAAACTACTGAACCTAAAAAAGAAATAAAAACAAATGAACTAAAATGTTAAAAACAAAATGAAAACTAAAAATTAAAGAAAAAGTGAAAAAAATATTTATTTCATGCCAAGTAGACTGCAAATACAGTTAGATATTTATGTGCTCACTACAATATACCCTGCAACTTTTACTTTTGATAAATTGGAAACAACTAATTTTGTACTTAATGCACTTTAATTGTGTGGAAGTAGTGCTGAAGACCAACTAAAGATATACTGAAGTATATTTGATTGTGCTAAAGTGGAACTGTTGCAAGTATACTTCAGGGACACTTTAAATATTTAGCATTTAAACGGTTAGTTCACCCAAAAATGAAAATTATGTCATTAATTACTCCCCCTTATGTCGTTCTAAACCCGTAAGACCTCCGTTCGTCGTACGTAGAACGTTTTGATTTGAACGAAAACAACGTATCAGCGTGACGCAGCTGACACAGAACAACATACGCTGTTTGCGTTCAGTGGATACTCTCCAAAATGGCGCTAGGGTGACGCGGAGGAGACGAATTGTTGAATAAAGTCGTTTTTTTCTTTCTTTCGCGCACAAAAAGTATTCTCGTAGCTTCGTAACATTACGGTTGAACCCCTGATGTCACATGGATTATTTTACCGATCTCCTTGCTTTCTGTGCGTTGATCGTGGTAATATCCTTGCTGTCTATGGAGGGTCAGAGAGCTGTCAGAATGCATCAAAAATATCTTAATTTGTGTTCCGAAGATGAACGAAGGTCTTACGGTTTAGAACAACACGAGGGTGAGTAATTAATGGCAGAATTTTTTTGGGGTGAACTAACCCTTTAAGTGTCTTTAACTACTACATACTTACATTTAAATTAATATGTGATACAATGCACTTGTGTACATACATGTTTTTTATATTGTACTTATATTTAAAAATACCTTCCTGTAATTAATTTCTGTAGTTACATCTATAATTACACAATTTGCCCTACACGTATACCTTTAAAACCACCCCAAACCTGGCCCTAATCTTAACCGTATCCCACCTCAACTGCACAACTGAACACAATAAGTAACCAACATGATCATTTAAAAATCAATATTATTATTATTAAAGAAAGAAAGAAACATGAAGCAAATGCATGTTTTCAGATCTACAAACGAGTCTGGTGTACAAAAATACCAAAACACCCTTTTTAACCCAAAGGCTAAATAACGGGTCAATGCAGGCCACGACCTGAGCAGAGGTTGTTCTCTGGTGGCTTTGCTTCAGTTCATAATATTACACTCCAGGCAAGAGCACATGAATTTATGATTCATGCTCTGCTAAACAACTGTGCATATGATACGATTATTTTAAACACACCTGCCAGCAAGGTGAGAGCGGTTTTTTATTACTCTGTAAAGTCACTTAGTTTAATAACTTCCTTGATAACTTAATAAGCTATTAAGTAACTTTCGTTAATAGCTTAATAACTTCCTCTGCCTTAATAACGGTAAAACTAAAGTCGTGCTTATCGGTTCCAGTCATCAAATCTTTAAAGGTGGTTCTCTCAGTCTTTCATTTGATCATTTTGCGCTGTTAAAGCATCCTTTTTTCATCTCAGAAATATAGCAAGATTGCGTCATATGCTACATTTTTCTGTATAGCTGAGTTGATCAGTTCGCTCGTTGTTAACTTAGATTTTCTAAAAAAATATGTGAAGTATTTTTTTTTTATGTTTGACTTGTTGATACAACTGTCATCTTGAATTTTATACTGACACCTGTTGGTGTGGATGTAACATGACACAAAAGCATAAAGTTTAAACGCCATTGCAGAAAAATCCTCTTTACTGATGTATATTAACTGTGCATAGTATTCAGCTCGTCATGTGATCTCAACATGGCCGCAAGGTGCGACCCGCCTTTTGTAGATTAAAACAGTTTTTAAGCCACTCATTTGACTGAACTTTTCTTCTTCATGTTAAACATTTAAAACGTCATTATTTACGTGCAATTTCTTAATTTTAAACACTCGCTGTATTGTAAGCATTAGAATCTAACTAAGTTTACTGCCTTTAATGTCATTATTACCTTCACTTCTAAGTTAATACATCTTTAAAACTGCTGTGGCAGCTTCTGCGTAACATTCCTTGGCACTGTCTACAACTAAAAACCGTGGCACATTCCGCCTCTTCAGTTGCGTAAAAGTTTTTACTTAATATCGGCTGAAAAGCACACACAAAGGCACATGTTCAAAATCCACTGGAATAAGTTGCTCTTTGGCTGTTTTTAACATTGGCTTCTATAGAGACGGACTAATTCTAATCTTGCATTATATTTAGCATTGATAGTACGCAAATTAGAACATAAGGTGGATCTCTAACTACTCCGACACACCCACATCTTTCTCTCATAAAACGGATAATTTTATTAGAAAACACACTGGGATGTGCAATGTGAATGTGTGTCACTAACAAAATAATTATAACAGATGTTATATTAAACAATAATGTTTTTTTTTATTTCCTGCGGAAAAAATGTAAGCTTGCTTCTTAAAGAGCAGGTCATATGGGTTTTTGAAAAATATCTCTTTTGCAGATTATAACGTAGCTATCGTTAAATGAAAACAATCTGCAAAGTTGTTCATCAAAAAAGGGCATGATAAATAAAGATATCGTCTCTCAACAGAGAGAGTCGATTCTGAATCGCCTTAACGAGTCGTCATATTTTCTAATCTTTTGCCTGTTACCGGTATACGTCACTGGGTAACACATTTGCATAATCCCCGCCTGCCCGCGAAATACGAACAGAGTCTGACCTGCCCACAAACACTTCTGCTAGTTAGTGTGTTTACATCATGTCGAGAAGACGCTGTGTTCAAGGATACCACAGAAAAACAATTCTAACTTTTTGTTGTGTGCTTGTCATTTTACCAAGGACTGCTTCTCTAATCTTGGCTTTTATCTTCGTTGGCTTCTAATCTTCTTTATTTGGACTAACAAGCTCTCCGAACCACAACCTGTAAGTGCGATTGATACGTTATGGGTACATTTTAATTTGAGTGCTCAAAATATCAAGTTTTTTTGCTAATATGTGATGTACACCTAGTGCAGCTTTAGGTTTCCAGGTAAAGCACTATATTACTGTCTTACTGAATTAGTTTTGATAATTCGCTGTGAACCCACTATTTCATAAGAATGTGTCGATTAATGTAGACTGACATTGTTCTAATAATTACTTCGTTTAATAATAAAGAATGTAGTGTAGCACACAGACTTTATAATCATTGTGAAATTGCTGTTTATTTTGCTGCACCGGCAGTTATAGGGTTAATGCGCCTGTGATACAGCTGTTCTGTGTTCTGATTAAAAGTTAAGACACAGAGCGTCTTTTGTCTGGCATTCTTCGAACATTACAGTAGACATATTTTGGTTTACAAACTGTATTGTTTCATCAGTTAGTCACGTTAGCACTCGGCTAACGTATCCACCATTATTGTTTTAAGTGTTCACAGTTTAGCAGCTAAACTTTAGCTGTGGGCACGATTTTTGTATTTTATGTCATTATTATAAGAACGGATTGGAGCCCTATATTATTGTTTTATGTAAAGGTGCTTTGTCAATCTTAGCACTCGCTAACTTGCTCAAGGACTCCTCTCTGTGCCAATCACAACAGGTTTGGCCAGCGGACCAATCAGAGAAGAGTAGGCTTATGGAAGGGAGGGGTTTGCTCCGAACTTGCTTGGAATGAATAGTTTCGAAATCATTGGCAAATGATTCTAATATTAAATGTATATTCTGAGAAAATTACAATGTTTTCTGACCTTGGATGCATTTAAACCTGTTGTAGGGGACTCCAACAGAATATTAGGACACTTTAAAATACCATATGAACTGCTCTTTAATGGTAAGGAATGTTTCAAAATGTTAACAAGTTATACAAAATATGTTTTAAGTCATTGTACATAATATCAGGGGTAGTAAGTGCTTTTAAACAATGAATACAGTAATTACACAAAAAATAGATTTTTCCAAAATCAAGGCTTTTCATCCTTTCCACCTTCACTAGTTTGGGTTTTTTGCTGGTCTTTCATCATCTTAACTCTCATGTTGTCTCTCCGTGCTCTCTTATTTGTGCCTTTTTTACGCTTCTTTGTTGATTGATTCTGATTGGCTGCTTGTGGCGGTCTCACCGCGCTTTTTCCCTGGAGTTGCTTAGGTCCTGTTCCACCTTTTGCCTGTATGAGAAGAAAGTAGAAAGTATACTTCATAAATCGTGGTATAACACCATTTGCATAGTAGTATCGAAGTTGATCTAAGTAGACTTAAGGTTGCTGGTTCAAATCCCAATGGTGGATGTCCATGAACTGGAGAATTACAGAGATCTCGAATTGTAAATCCACCTCCAATGTCCCAGCATGCCTTAGGACATGCATATATAGTAGGCATGTCTCTACAGGACAGTGTGAGCACGGAGCTCAATGGTTTACACAATCGACACACCTCCTGTTCTGGTGTACGTTTTGCTTCAATAAAATTTTAAGTGTTATGTTTCCTCGGGCAGTGCTTCATTCGGGACCAATGCGATGATGTAAGAGAGTTACTGAGCGTAGAGTAGGATGGGTGTGATCTCTTTATGACCTGTCCCGACACATATCCCAGTTGCAAGAATAAGATGAATAAGAGAACATCCACAATCCACAATCTAAATTTACTTTAAGTTTTGTAAGTATGAACAGAGTTTGCTATGGCAAGCATCACTGTGATAACTCAGAAACAACTTAGAAATTAAGTGAAATAAAAGTTAGAAACTACTAAAGATAAGTAACTTTCACCATCAGTTGTTACTCAAACAGATTCATAGCATGACAGACCATCCTGACAGACAGAATGGATGTGGTAACTCTGTGCAGGAATGTTATTGAGACATGGACATCATCAGTGTGCACTCTGACTGTTTATGTTGGCTGTGAGTTGTTTTAAGTCATTGTACATAATATCAGGGGTAGTAAGTGCTTTTAAACAATGAATACAGTAATTACACAAAAAATAGATTTTTCCAAAATCAAGGCTTTTCATCCTTTCCACCTTCACTAGTTTGGGTTTTTTGCTGGTCTTTCATCATCTTAACTCTCATGTTGTCTCTCCGTGCTCTCTTATTTGTGCCTTTTTTACGCTTCTTTGTTGATTGATTCTGATTGGCTGCTTGTGGCGGTCTCACCGCGCTTTTTCCCTGGAGTTGCTTAGGTCCTGTTCCACCTTTTGCCTGTATGAGAAGAAAGTAGAAAGTATACTTCATAAATCGTGGTATAACACCATTTGCATAGTAGTATCGAAGTTGATCTAAGTAGACTTAAGGTTGCTGGTTCAAATCCCAATGGTGGATGTCCATGAACTGGAGAATTACAGAGATCTCGAGTTGTAAATCCACCTCCAATGTCCCAGCATGCCTTAGGACATGCATATATAGTAGGCATGTCTCTACAGGACAGTGTGAGCACGGAGCTCAATGGTTTACACAATCGACACACCTCCCATGTTCTGGTGTACGTTTTGCTTCAATGAAATTTTAAGTGTTATGTTTCCTCGGGCAGTGCTTCATTCGGGACCAATGCGATGATGTAAGAGAGTTACTGAGCGTAGAGTAGGATGGGTGTGATCTCTTTATGACCTGTCCCGACACATATCCCAGTCGCAAGAGCCTCAGACCAGTGAATAAGAGAACATCCACAATCCACAATCTAAATTTACTTTTAAGTTTTGTAAGTATGATCAGAGTTTGCTATGGCAAGCATCACTGTGATAACTCAGAAACAACTTAGAAATTAAGTGAAATAAAAGTTAGAAACTACTAAAGATAAGTAACTTTCACCATCAGTTGTTACTCAAACAGATTCATAGCATGACAGACCGTCCTGACAGACAGAATGGATGTGGTAACTCTGTGCAGGAATGTTATTGAGACATGGACATCATCAGTGTCCACTCTGACTGTTTATGTTGGCTGTGAGTGTGTGTATGCAAATACCTTTGACCATATGGTGCATATCTCTGAAAACAGACGCTTCTAAGTGCTCAATGGCTCAAATCATTGCTTGAACCAGCAACCTACCAGTTACCAAATCTTATAACCCAAAACACCACACTCTGTAACTCTTGAAATAATGATAAAGGTAAGTTGCAGGCTGAATTCAAACCCAAATTTCCCACATAAGCACCAGAGTTAAACATATCTGGAGCACACATGCGAACAAGCAACCTTCCGTTTACCCACTCCGAACTATATATACACACCACACCACTTGGAAATAATAGATAAAAGGTATGTTGCAGGTTAAATTAAATTCAAACACAAATTTCCCACATGAGCACCATGGTTCAATCATCTGGAGCACACATGTGAACCAGGAACCTTCCATTTACACTCCACTACACCACACCACCTGAAAATACTGGATAAAAGGAAAGTTGCAAGCTGAATTCAAACACACATTTCCCAAATAAGCACCACGGTTCAACCGTCTGGAGCACACACGTGAACAAGCAGTCTTTCACTTACCAACTTTAAGCTTTAATCAATACACCACACCACCTGGAAATACTGGATGAAAGGAAAGTTGCAAGTAGGGATGTTCATTTTGGTTATTTTTCTTAACCAACAACCGACACTCGTTAACCGATTATTAACCGTTAACTGACAAGATTATTTGAAAAATTAGAATTGAAATAAATTAGAAAGGATAAGTGTCTGTGACCCGTTAAAATACTAACATTTGTTTCCCGGGGATTAATTTTACATGCGCAAAAACCAGCAAATAACACAACATGAGGATTCACATGGTCATCATATCACATCACGCACCTGCAGTGCTTCTGCCAGCGGAGAAAAACATAATAAAGCTAGGCTATATATATATATATATATATATATACACAGTTATAATATTAATTAATAAATAGGCTTATACAATAAATATATTTTTACTTAAATAATAAATTAAGAAAATTAAAGAAAAACTGTGCAACAAGTAGCCTAGTATGCAGAGTTTCGGTTCATTTTTGTGCTGCGCGAAAGGAAACATACGGCAGAAAGCGGCATCCTATTTTTCTTTAATTATTTTACAAAAGCACAAAGATTTGTTTTTTATTGTGAATGTACACAAATAAAGCCAAACCTTTTACAATTCCGATTACCTTTAGGACTAAAAGGAGTAGTTTCTTCCACTGTTAGAAGGAAAAAACTCAAGTGATTGCACCGGTGCCGCGCGCACACAGTTAAGCATTGCTACCTTGACAATGCAGCCTGTTCATTATCATAATAAAATACAGTCAGTCAAACATATGGAAAAAAACACACTGCTCAGTTTAAATGTGCAGTAAAATCTGTGCCGTTAAGTGTTATCACCGCACCGCCGTGATGTTATGCAAAACATTTTGTTTTACATGGATATTGGAATGCGAGTGAAGTAGGCTACATAATAAATAATAATATGCCATTCAAATACATCGTGAATACGGAAACATTTGATTTTGTCTCGAATGAGACGCAACGTTGGTTTCAGTTTCGTTTTAGCCTAAAATAATTCATTTTGGCTTGTCGTTTATATTGCTATAGCTTCTTATATTTTTAATTATTGTTCTTTTCCAAATACTGTTAATTGAAAGGCTTTGTTGTGGAGTGAGGGGAACTAAAATAGCCTAGCTATGTTTACAGTGTTTATTATAATGTTTGTAAACATTTTGCGTCGGCATTAGGCCTATTTCTGAATGAAATAATAAAATGTGACTTATACACGACTTATGTTTTTTTTCTCTAAAAAACACAATTTTTTATACACGTAGCATATTTTAACCATGCAGCAAACCTTTTTAAATATTTTTATAAATTACTGAAAAAAAAAAAAACTTTTTAAACCGTTTTAACTGATTGTATGAATCAGTCAAAATTCGGTTAACGGTTAACCGGTTAAAATAAACACCCCTAGTTGCAAGCTAAATTCAAACCAATATTTCTCACATAAGCACCACAGTTCAACATGCCTGGAGCACACATGCACATGCGAACCAGCAATCTTCCATTTATCAACTCTGAGCTATAACCACTAGAGCCCGATCGATATGGGTTTTTTGGGACCGAGTAAACTAGGGAGTAAAAAAAAGCCCGATACCGATATATCGGCCGATATTCTGTGTGTATATTATAGTACAGTACCAGTCAAAAGTTTGGACACTTTCCCATTCGTGTGTCCAAACATTTGACTGGTACTATATATAGAATACAGTGTATACATAAACAAAATATATATATATATATATATACACACATTTTTTGCAATGATTACTCAAATGTGGTGATCAAACACTTATAACGGTGACAGAGATATGTAAGGGCATTTAACAATTTAAAAATAAACTTGCGATGAGTGCGATGCACAAAGTAACGGGGTGTTAGTTATAACACACGTGGTTTGAATATTTATTTTACCATAGTAACATTTAAATTCTGGCTTAAGTAAATTTTTTATCTCAGTTTTTATTATTCATTTAAAATTAGACAAATCTGCTATTATTTTAATCTCCAATCTGTTATTTATCAGTTCAGATAG